GTTTTAAGCTAAAGTGGAGGATTTTCTAAAGTCCTCAACAACTGTTTACAATTTAGAATTAAACGTTCTTTCTGCTTTTACTAGTACTGCTGAGGAAATGTACCTAACAGACCTGTCACTTTTTTGTGCAATTGCTTCTGTGACATTATTTTCATTGGTAAATGTACGAGCTGATAGAAAAGGAAATCATTAGGTGCTCTCAGTATTGCTGAGGCATGGAACTAGAACAGGTCGGTCACTGCATTTTGCGGATTGTGACATTTTAAATTACCTGTACACTACTGGAAGCAATCTGTGAACCTAATTAACATCTCACCTAATTAACGTCAGGACTGTATATTGAGAATTCTAGATAGTTTTGCACTGCCTTTATTTATTAAATACCACATTATTCAAATTTGCTATCTTTAATTTCAGTATTGAAAACTTCAGATTTGTGTGCTGTGTTCTTAAGTGGGAGTAACTACTTTTTTTTTTTCTCCTTCAAGTAATCAATGCACTGCTGAATGAGTTCATTTTAATGCACTCAATCATGCCTCTAATGTTTGTAGCTTACGGGCGCAAGCATCAGTAATGCAGGAATGTTATATGGCTTTAGTTTGGGCCATTTCATAAAATATTCATGGAATCAAAAATGTGCATCAAAATAGCGGCTGGGAGAATTACATTTATGTGCCTGCTTTTATGGCAGCTTCACATTTAAACCCATTTGTGTTAATATCTAGTCAATCTTTCTACTTAAAAAAAAAAAAAAAGGGCAAAATAGTAGTCCCCATATATACCCTTTTTGGTTTGATATCTATTTTGTTATAATAAATGTATACTTTTGGAGTGGGCTTTAGGAAGGGGAATAAAGGAAGTTTTAGATAATGTAAAAACATTTCAGTATTTACAAAATTACATTGAGTTCTTTTACTTGAATGAACAGATTTATTTTTTTGACTTCTAAGCAACTCAGTGAAAACTGGAAAACTGTAGCACAAATCCTGTGCATACATATGTAGTTGCTACAAAAATAAGAGTAATTTCTAAAATTTTATACTTAGTGGCGGAGTAATGTCTTATGTTCATGTAATTGTTTAGAACTGGTTCTTTACTCCCAAAATTATATTGTGGCAATGTTTACCACTCATATTTAAGATTAAGCTATTGCTGACAGGGTTTCTTTTGTTATGCCCTGAGTTGCATTAAACTGTAACATTTTAGTAGTGGTAGTATATATGTTGTAACAGTTACATTTCTGATTTTTGATTCCTTTTATAAACAGGAAAGAGATATTAGAGATTTTCAAACTCCATTTAGTATACACTGAGCTAATTTCTGCATGGCAGTAGGAAAAGAAATATGCAATTGCTGTTAATGATGCCAACTGAAAATAGATGTATTGCTTTGTGTAACATTTTGCAAATAGATATTTCAACTATAGATTTTCTAGAAACACCTTCTGTGGATTTTCACTTTGAATTCGTAGAGATATAGAAGATACATTTCTACAAACTATCCCAAGTGATTTTCCTACTCGCTGTTTTTTGGTGTGTGTGGTTTTTGTTTTTCTTCTAGTTGATAATAAAAGTAATTTAAAACTCTGCCTTGTCACTGCTCAGGTGAAATAAAAATACTCTCAGAAATGTTCTGTAATGGGCTTATTACTTTCTTTTGATATTTTTCAAGATTTTCAGACAGCATCTACCACTGTCTTCACCTAACGGTTGTATTCAGTGTTTAATATTTAGAATGCACAGGGCAAATCAATTCCAGCTGAACTGACCCATGACAGTGGATAAACTTGCCACCCCCCTGAAAGCATTTTTCCACAACACTTGAGGTTCACATAAACATCTTGTATTAAAGCAATAGGCTGTTGTGTCATTTGCAAAGGAGAACAAGGAATTTTGGATTATTTTGATGGAGGAATTAATTTCAAAGTCTAAAATGTTTTACCTTCAATGAATTTGAGAGGTCTCAAAATATCTAGTATTACTTGAGTCTTCAGTAAGCAAATTCCCAGGCATGTGAGGGCTTTATGGTCAGGAATTCCATCTCTCCCTCATCTAGGAAACATGTAGGCCTTTTAGTTTGGGGGTTTTTTTTGGTTGTTTTGTTTTTGTTTTTGTTTTTTTGTTGTTTTTTTGGTTTTGTTTTGTTTTGTTTTGTTTTTTTTTTCTCAGTATCTTCTTTATGGTATTACTCTGAGCAGATTTTTTACTTCATAGTCTTTCTTGGTAGTTCAGCGAAGCCAAATATAATTTAATTCCATTTGAATGCTACCAAAAAGATTATATTGCTTTTCTATTTTGAAGCTTGATGTAGATGGATTGCTTCTAAAGAGGTTTCACTGAGATCTGGCAAAAAGGATATCAGGTCACAGCTCTTATGGTTAGGTCAACTCTTAAGAACTATAGGGTACATGGAATATATGAGTTCAATTTCTAGTCTGACAGAAACTTTCTCAAGGGGATACTGCAAGTGAGGAAGCATGGGTAAGAATTACCATATCTGATAGTTCTAACGATCTAAATAATAGTTCTGAAGGTTGCACATATTATTTACCTAAATGATGTGTACTGTTAAGAGATTATATTAGAGTCTGAGGAGAAACTCAGATACTGTGTTCAGTTTCAACTTCTGTATCCAAGTGGTACCATTCATTTGCTGCTTCCTAGTCTTACTAGAAGTTTTTGAGTTACATGTGAATCAATCTCTATCATACTAAATAATCTATTGCACATGTAATGAAACTAGATCACACAGATGTATGGCAATATCCTTTCAAAAGTTCAATCAGTTGATTAATAAACTCAGGAGAGAATTTCAAGGAGTCTGTGTGCTTATGATAATCCAAGTGGATAAAATGCTAGATCTAGTTATTAAATTTCCACTCAATTTTCCATCATTTGTCACAAAGCCAACACCAACTTCTTCAATTAATATCTTAAATCTGTATTTAGCAACTTGGATAACTGGAGTTCTGTTGACTTCTGATTCAGACTTGCCCTAAGAAGTTAGCTGGACTGGATAGGTAGGAACCTAAATGCAAATTGGAGGCCTCTTTAGGATGGGCAAGAGTTTTCATCTGGGTTTGGCAAGTCTCCATTTCTTGTTACAGGTACTGTCAGTGAATCCTTAAACAGCTTGTACTGGTCATGATAGTTTCACTTTGCTTTTCTGTTCACTCTGATATCAAGTATGTGATATCTTGGAAAGATGGTATAGATCTTTTCCTGTCTGTTTACAGGGTCTGATAGCTATTCTGTTAATAAGATTTTTTTTTTTTAATGTTTTGGCCTATCTCTCCGATACCTGTCCCTAGCTAGAGTGGAACTGAATAAAGCTTGCTGTCCCCCTTTCACCTGGCACTTCACTCTTCAGCACTTTTTGTTGTTGTGTCTTCTGGGACTCTTACATGTATCATAGGATGTAGTGCCTTAAAATTGTCTATGAAACTCATTTAATTAGTTGCTTCTTTGAAAGAGAAGTTTCTTGTGCTTTTCAATTTTAGTTGAACTCATTTTAATCATCAGAGAAGCTTAATATGAAAATAAATTTAACTCTAAGAAAGATAAGGGTTATGTTTTATATTGCAAAGTTGAAAACATTGTTATAAAAGGAAAACATATGCAAAAGACAAATCTAAATTAAGTTAATAAGAGGAATCAGTTATAGCTGTTCTGCTGCCTCGAGGTTGGCTGGAGGCCTGGGGAACTAGCCTTGTTTCCTCTCAGAATGCTTAAAGGTCCTTCTCTAAGCTTCACTCCCTTCCTTTCCTATAGTTGGGAAAACAACTTTTCTCCTTCACGGTTCTTTCTGTAATTTGACTGCAGCCCTGTAAAAACAGTCTGCAAAACAGTAGCCGTTCCTTATAAATCATGTTTCAGAAGAGGTGTACTCTGCAAACACATCTAAACAAACATAGTTTATGGTTTGTTTTAGCTTTTGATAGAAATAGCAATTGATATATTGATGATCTATGGGACAAGATTCCTCCATCGCACACACAAACTTAGGAAGGAAGGGTCATATTCACAGTTTTCCCAGCTATACGACATTCTTCGTAACACAAGGTAATGTCACCAGAATGCCCTTTTTTTTTTTTTTCCTTTTTTAATGTAAATGGCCTCACCTGCTTCCCAGTACTTTTTCTGTACCCATTGTGTATATGGAAAAGCTTTTCTCTTCTTTCAACGGGCTTTGAATTTTCATTGTCCAGAAAGTGTGGAAATCTTCTAGATGGCATGTATACATGGAGATAAATCTAGCTGAAGGTAGAGGGAAGGGAGGAACTACTTGCTGTTAAAATTAGTTGACCTTTATCTTCAAACTTCCCTTTGCTTTAAAAATTTTTGAGTAACTTACATTTGAGGACCTTAAGGTGTATTACTTCAGGCTCGATAATTAATCTATTAGTTGTTAATGTTCTTCCAGTAAATTTACTACATAAGCTCACTGGAGTTAACCTAGTAATAACTGTTGAATAAATTACTTCGTATAATAATTCTTTTTTCATCAATTAATTTATATTTAAATAAAGATATTTTCTCTTTCCCCCACAGTTTTGATACCTCTATTCTCCACGCTTCAAATTTTTCAGCAAAGGTTGTCATTATGGATAAAGAAACTTGGGAAACAGTTTGAGTTGTGATTATTTATGCATAGATGTGATTTTGAAATGAGATCCACAAAGGCTATATTCATGAATCTCTAACAGATGTATTTTCTAGAAAATTCTGACTTTGCATCCTTGGGATCACACACCCCCAACATTGCGATTCTACAAAGGAAAGCTGATTTAAAATGTGCTAAATTTAAATTACAGCATTACTGGCAACTGTGAGATTTGGCAGTAATTTCCAGTGATCTGTAAGTTATATCTTGAAGATTCTTGAAAAATCTGTGAAATGATTGGATGCAACTTCCTTTATAATGAGAAAATTATTATAGACTAGCAACTTTTAAAAATTTTGTTGATTACACTGATTGTAATTATTAACGGAATTTTTCAGGTCATCTTATGAAAGCTGCTGAGCATTATGAAGCATTTTATCAGCTAACAGAGGGTTCGACATGGAAGGACGAGACAGGCCATACTTACAATTCACTGGCATGTGAACATCTCTGGAGAATTTATACATTACTAGCAGACAAAATGCTAGAAAATAAAGAGCACCAACAGGCCATCAAAACGCTAATAAAAGCTTTAAAAATGGCAAAAGAAGGTAGGTGGAAAATAACACTTTCACATTCCTTTATTTGATGTGCATGCCATGATTTTCCCAAGAGTAAAGTAGAAATTGTGAAGTGTTTGACTGGGTGATTATTTCCTATGAAATTCAAAGACAAATGCTATCAATACACATCCAGAGATCGCTAAAGCAGAAATGTCTTCTTGCTGACAGCAAAAAATCTTTTAGATTCCTGAAAGCTTTATCTCTAAAAAAACAACCTTGTGGAAATCATAGTATAATACAGTGAGCCCATAATCAGAAAGTGAGGTCACTAGTGGAAGTTCAGCTCGCTGATTTTGATTGGCTACTCACTGTTTATTTGGGAAATTTTAAGTGATACTATCTGCTGGATCCCTACGTTTTCACTCTACATACTTATTTAGTACTTGCAAAAAACAGTTTTCTGTCATAAACAAACAAGATTTCTTTTGTATATCTTAATACACATAAATACTCTGAAACCTGAAGTAAAACATTACAGAATCGCAGAATAGCTGAGGTATGAAGAGAGATGTCTGGAGATCGTCAGGTCCCTCTGAAGGGCAGCACGGCCACCTGCCTGCTGGATCAACCATTCCTCCTCGCTTTTGTGTTGCTGGCAAACACGCTGAGGGTGTGCTTGGCCACACCATCCGGGTCATTAATGACGATACTGATCAGCCTTGTTGCCAGTATCGATGCCTGAGTGCACCACTAGTGACTGGCTTCCCGGTGGACTTCATGCTGCTGCTTACAACCCTCTGAGCCCAGCAGCTCAGCTAGTTTTCAGTCTGCCCCACCGGTCATTTATCTAAGCCACATTTTATCAACTTCTGTATGAAAATGGTGTGTGAGACAGTGTCAGAAGCCTTGCTAAAATTGACAGTAACAACATCCACTGCTTTTCCTTCATCCACCAAGCCAGTTGTCTTATCCTAAAAAGCTACCAGGTAGGTGAAGCATGAATTCCCTGTCTTAAATCCATGCTGACTACTGATCGCTTTCTTGTTCTAGATAACAGCTGTATGAAGCTTTCTCCATGCGTGGATCCATTTAAAACTGGGAGAAATTAGGACAGCATTTGAATGTTACATATAATGTGAGATGTTGATCAGCTAGAAATACCATGCTCTGGAGCATTTCTTACACGAGAGAGAGCAGGAAAAAGAAGGCAAATTTTACAAGCTGACTTTATGAAAATACACATAACTTTCCAGATTTTTCAGAAATCATAATAATGCTTGTTTCTCAAAAGATGCTGTTAAATGTCTGCTTCTACAGACTTACTTTTCCTAGATGATTGTCCTAAATAATTATTGAAGTACTTCTCCAAAGATAGAAGGTCTCAAATTATCATCTTTTTCCATGCACAGCAATTCAAGAGTCATTCATGGTATTCCTTAAGGGGCATATTTTGCATATGAATTGCACATCCAATTAACATATAATATTAATTCAGTATTTATCACCAGATACGTTAGTTCTTTAAGTTTAATAATGTATGTCCAATATTAATCTGTTAGCCAGTCTTTGTGTAGTAGTTGGGATAGATAGAATTAAACTATCAAAAATGACAAAAAAATTGAAAATATTTTCCAAATTTTAAAATTAGTTTGCCACAAATAAATATAGGACTATACAGATAGATAGTATACCACAGTACTCTATAGAAAACTATAAAATGTATTCAGTGAAGCCAAGACAAGTTCCTAAAAAAATATATCTTTATTAGACCAGTAGATATTCTTAGAAAAAATGAACAAGCATTCAAGCATCTAAGCCCACGTGAACTTTGCCATTTATTATTTTTAGAAGTGCCAGCAAGTTATTTCTATTTCAGATTTTTTATTATATTGTCTTTGATTATATTAATTCTAAAGAACCAAAATCTCTCATCTTGCCTTATCTCATGAAGAATAATGTTTTAAAACACCATTTGAAATCTTATGTGGTAGTTTTGGGGGAATAAACCAAACAGGACTCTGGGGGCAAGAATTCAAATCTTTCCACTCCAAATGTTTAATTTGTCAGGGTACATGATTGTATTTTGCTAATTTTCTCTTTTAATTAAACCACTAAACAACCTATTTTGTTTATATCTGTAATTTACATTAGCAGCTCTGTTTTGTGAATTGCCTCATTAGGTCTTTTCTCCTGAAAGTACGTACCTCAATACTGAGAATGCCGATACAGTTAATCAGCTGAAGAAGGTCATGGGTATCTAAAAACTTCTCCATCTTTTACAGCTGCATCTGTTGGTCAAATACAAGCTTTTAGCTTTTTCTACAGCTGTTGCCTATAATACATGCTTAAGTCACAGCTACAGTAAAACTGCTGCTACTAATATTTACTGTAGTAACTAGGATTACTGATGAAGTTTCCCATCAAGTTCTTCTTATTGGTAGTGAAATCTGCTGGAAATGAAGATTGTCAAAATGGATCTGATACCTTTCCAAAACTTACTATGACCAGGCAGATGTTCCAGTGCCCTTACTTCAAATCAATCACTTTCATAGCTTCCTGAGACATGCAATAAATAACACTATGCACAGTATACTTGCCATTGTTCTCCCTTTAGGCTTTAAAAGCTCCTTTCAGGCAAGTTCTCCAGTCCCAATTCCAGAACCATAGCCTCTATTTATGAAGCCCATATTTAACAATTTAGTTAAACCCATACTGGCTCTGACTGCCATGTGTAATATCCAGTCTGTCCTTCTGGAGCATCATCAATGTTTATGTATTTTATGAATTAGGATTAGATATTACCCACTTCAGACTCTTAGCCTGTTCCTAAGTGAGAAAGGAAGTTTTTTATATCCCTAGCAGCTTTTTCACTCGTTATTCCTCTGTGAATCTGTATTTCTGTATCCTTTTGCCTCATTAAGCCTTTTAAGGGATATTGAATATTGGAAAAGACCATCAGGTTTATGAGTTACAGGCTTTTCATAATTTTTTGTAACATAGTAACTGCTATAGATAGAGCATTGCTATGGCCTCAGCAATTACAACATGCAGAGAGTTCCAGAATTAGATGTAGGCTTCTGTGTGTTTGGAAATAAAGAATTTATTAACCTGCCAATTTTAAGTAGATAATCTCCCTTTTCATTGCAACTTTATTTATTTGTACATTTTGCAAAATATTTTGATGTGCAGTTATGCTTTAGGTTGATTTTTCTACTCTTTATTGTGTTTGAGCAAGTGGATATTGAGTAACAGAAAGATTGGATTTTTAGCTATTTTTAATATAATTACATCTACAATTTTTTTTATGGATACTCATGTTCTGGAGGGAAATTTTTGAATATAGTGTGATACAGTAAGCATTTATATAATTAATTTATATAAATTTCAGTATTGAATGGATGGTTTTCTATTGAGGGAGCAATATAAAAAGACCAACAAGCAGTGTTTGTTAAATCAGTATTAGTGAAATAAAACCTGTCATGGAAGAGTGTGATGCACCTCAGTTAGCAACTGCCTGTGCAGAATTTTCTATGACTATTGCTTGCAAGTGTAAGTTATCCCTTTTTTAAACTATTCTAGCCTATAGTAGCTTGCAAAATAGCCATGAGAATAAGAAATATGAACCTAGTCTACTGATAGTTCTCTCTTGGTGTTTCACTAAGATTCACATTAGCGAAGTGTATATTTTATGTTTATATATTAGGCTGTATTATATATTTGTAGCTACTTTTATTCTATATATTACTGGAGAGAGCGAGAGGCTACTATGATTTTGTGATGTGAAGACATTGTAAGTAATATTAAACCATTCATGATAGAAAACATTACAGCATGTTAAATTGATTGTACTCCATTACTTACTGGAATGACATTACTTCTCTGACTTTGCTGAACTTTCTTGTTGAACTTTGTTTAAATCCGTAGCCTCTGTTTTTAATTGCCACTATATATTTTTGGAAAGAGGCAGGGGTAAGGAGAAGGAAAAGCTTACTACAGTATTTAAACATCTGTATGTTATTTAAGAACCTGAAAGAACTGTCTGTATCTATGTAATTTTGTTCAGATTATGCTGGTAACTAACTTTAATCCTTTCTTTAGGAGGTGATATGATGATGGAAGGAGAAGCTGCATATTGCTTAAGTTTAGCGTATCATTTTGCTGGAGAACAACAGACAGCATTATCAGTAAGTTTATTTTAAAGTTGCTTTATCTTTCCCAACACCTTTCTCTGCCTGCTGGGCATCTTGGGCATTCTGGAGAATAGAAAAGACTTGGAGAGACTTGGCTTACAGACCTTTTATAACTGTGTCTAGTTCTGTAGACAGGGATGAATGTGGCTTAAGCAATTATGGTTCCAATAAATTGCAGAACTGATGGAGTCCAGATTTACAGGCTTGGATCTATACAAGTAATATTAATTGACAGTTTAGGTTATATGTGACTAGCTTTCCTTTTCCTGTATTCATACATATATAAAACAGCTTTTATTTAGTTGTGTTTTTGTATAAAACAGTAGTTTGCAAACGAGTTTGGTACAGCATATTTGTGAGCAACAATTAAAAATATATCAGTTCACATGTTAAGCTTTTAAGAACATCAGGAATTTAGAAAAATTATGAATTGCTTTTGGTATGAAAAGCTGTAATGCTGATGCAATCCCGTCTGTTGATACTTGAGTTCAAGCTCCTCTTCTTATGTTTTCCTTGAGCCTCCCATACATAATAATTCTAAGACAATGAGAATTCTGCATGTGGAATTCTAGTCTGGGAGGAGGGTTCGTCTGGTTCATCACAGGTCAGTGTGAGAGGAAAGGTAAGCAGCAACTTGATTTCTCTGTGCCAGTCATCAGAGAAGTCATAGTCTTTCGTGACCGTCTTAAAAATGTTGTATGGAAAATTAATTGGGTTTAATATTTTGCCCATGATTATTATGACTAATCAGCTGGATAATTGCTGTTTCTGTTTGTTCCTTTAACTGCAGAATGACTCCGTATTTTATTAATGAACATATTTTATAGAGGTCATTCTTTGTGGTTATTTGTTGTGGTGGTTTATATTTTTTCAGAAATAGACCAATAGAAGTCACAGAGTGAATTTAGCATGGGTTTCAATATTGCTTACTTGGCTTCTGCAGTGTAGGAGGGATTCTAGATTTCTGTCTTGAAATATCCTCTTACGTGCTTTTAATGATTTGTGATACGGTTTTTCCAAAAGTTATTGACCATCTTTATACATAATTCTTCAATGCTGAGAGGCCTAACTTCTGTATAAATCAACTGACTGCTGGAAAGTAGGAGCCTGTGCCCACATCAGTTACAGTTGAAGTCTGTAGCTCAATATGAAAAAATTCCAAAATTTAAAAGCTACATATATTTTTATGAAATTATATCTAATAGTTGCAACAGCAATGAGAAGAGAATATTTGATCTCTTCCAAGAATATAGTATGATGGATTAGACTAGAATTTTTTGTACTGATCTGCATTGGTTTTTGACTGACAAGTGTGACAGTATTCTTACCTATCGACTTTTCTGTTAACTTTCTGAGAGTCACAATAGGCTGTGTGAATGATGAAGAGCAGCATGATAAACAAATGTGCTAAATAAAGAAGCTTGCATGCGTATTTGATCTCCCCATCACAGGAGAAATTAATTAATGAACAAGACTGCACAGTCTCCATGATATACAAAGGATCAAACTACCCTTGAAAGTGTCAAAAATATTAGATGTCCTGGCATTATTTCCTTAGGATCCATTTTGCTTACATCTTAGAGCTACTCCTTTCCCTTCATTGCTCCCCCCATGTCTCCTGCCAAAAAGTTACAGCAGTTATTTGAAAGTTCCATTTGTTTTTGTCACGTGCAGAATTGTTCTTTTTTTAAGGAAGATTCTGAAACTTTCAATTTTGTAATGTACTACTATTAATTTAAAATATATACATAATAGGTTGTCTTATTGTTTTCAGTCTTATAAAAATACCTGACATGTAAGGAAAGCAGTGTGCATTTTGTTAAAAGGGAAAGAAAGTCTCTGTAGTACAAAACTTAATCGATACATTATGTTAAGAGTATAAAATGTTATTTTAACAGTAATGAAAATACCGGTACTTTTCATTGTAAATAATACAGTATCGTGGCATTTCCTAATATAATGGCATTTCCAATAATACTACATAAGAAACCTTTGAAGTACTTTCATTCATAAAATAGTGTGTGTTATGGGACTAAGAAAAAGGGGTAAAATTTTAGTTCCTTTTGTCCTTAACAGTAATCAATATAGACAGCAGTAAAATATCAGTGCTTGACAGTACTGTTGAGCACAAGTTGTCTTCACTCTCCAATTAGAAATCGTTGCCTAAAATTTACCCTTCTGTTCTCGGTTTAATGGTCTCTGTATCCAAGGGGAGCTCAGATGCTTACGGAGATGAAATCATTGCATCCTGTTCCCAGAGGACTACTGGTTATCATTACACATAACATGCAGACAATACTGCTAGGAGCCAGTTTGCCTCATGGTAATATGTAGTTCATCACCAGCTTCTGTAGCATGCTAAAGAGGTCTTGCCACACAGCTTGGGACTATTCGGATGTAGACTCAGGGGTCTCAGCAGTTATTTTGCTGCTTTGCATCAGTTTTCATCTTCTTTATCCTTTTGTGCTGTGGTCCACCTCAGGCAGTCTCCTTCTAGGGGAATCTGAAAGGAGCAGCTGTTACAGATACCATTTCCTCCAATTGTTGCCACTTGGTTCCTTTTGCTGTTCAATGTGCTACTCCCTCCCCCAACATGCACACACGGTAGCATGCATATAAGCTTGTTTCTCTTTCATTCATGTCTTCTAGCCAAGCAGAGAAGCATATGTTCAAAATATTCATTATCTGATGCAGTAATTAAAGGTTGAAATGATTAAGCTGCAGCCTATTATATCAAAAATACTTAGTAACTTTGTATCAAATGGGCCAGTTTTATTGGAGAAGGTTTTTTATTTGCTAGCACTTGGTGTATAATCTAACATAATCTGTATAAATTGATTTAATTTTATTTGATATATATGATTGATTTCAGCATACCTACTCAGATGTAAAAACATAAGTGTGTGCAAGTTTAAAATCCTGAGAACTAATTATGTTCAATAACAATGTTGTATGTTCATAATATTTTTCATATCATCTGGTTTATAATCAAGCCTAATGGCTTTTCCACACAATATGACACAAAATATTAATAGTTCACATTATATGGATTTTATCTTAAACATTATAGATTTTGTCCGGGAGAGTTCTCCATAGGCTAATTTTAAAGTAAAAGTTGCTGTTTACTTGTTTCTCTTCAGACTTGTATAACAAGCTAAGTATTAAGTGAAACATTTCTGTGTCATTAGAAATCTTGCATAAGGTACTGTAATGTAATGCTTGATGTGGGAATTTTTTTTTAAACTGGGCTTTCAGGAATGCTTCAAAGAGTTGGGCATCAAGGGTTTTTTCTCTTTCAATTAGAGTTGCATCCCAAATCATCAGGAAAATTCCATTCCTCGTCCCTTGTCTGAGCATTAGGTTTTTTCTAAGTGTTTCTTTACTTTGGATATTGAATCCTGTATTTCACACGTTACGTATTTAAATAATAGAGACAGTGTTCATGAGTACTGAGACTCATGCCAAAATAAATGTGGTGATTTATGACATAATGCTATGTGCATGAATTGTCAGAATTACGATATACAAGCCACAGGCATAAAATTATCAAGAAAATTTATGAACTTACAAAGACATCTTCACATTCAGAATGACTCTATTAAAGTAATCAGAGGTGATTTATGACCATAAAGTTAATTTCTGAAAAAGTCTATGTCAAAACAACTGAAAATTTTGTCTCAACTCATGCAGCTAGAGAAAATATAAGTAAATGTATCTGGGATGCAGATATTCTGAAGTTAGTATGCAAGGTATTTTTTCTCTAATTATATCCATTATATCTAATTATATAGATTATGCCTATAGGTATGTATGAATTTGATGAATCAAGGAGGATCTTAGCGAGTAAAAGAAATCCAAAAGGTAGACTGAACGTTGTCTGCTTTTCTCCCAAACATTGTGAAAATCAGTTGAGAAGAATGACCATCATTTCTTTGAGATTTGCTTACTATTCTAGTACTTTGATAGAAGGCTGAACTTCAGAACACTCTTCTGTCAGTGGTGGCTGGGTAGACCACTGAGTTTAGGTTTAAGCTTTCATTACAGTTACTACAAAAAGAAACACTTAAATGGAGACTCGCAAAACAGATCAAAAGATACTAATAAATGGAAATTATTTCAAACTTCCTTCTTTAAAATCAGACAGATTGTCCTTTATTCGTCTGTGAGTTAGCCATTAGTAATGAAGTGTAACATTTTCAGCTTAGCAAGTGGCATCATGTCCTTGAAAAAACATTTTGGCATACCAGTTTAAGACAAGGTCTCTTCATTCCTAGAGGTTTCACTTTTATTAAAGTGATTTTTAAATTGTTCTTAAAACTGTACTCATAGAAATTTTGTATTTTTCATATCTGAGGAATAAAAAAACCAGACAAAACTCTGAGTCATCTTTGAAGATAGGCACTTCTGATTGGTCTTGACACTGACAGTGGATTATGTACAGAGAAAGATTTTCTTCTTGAAGGATGGGAATTAGTGAGCCAATTCTGAAACTGATTAAATTTCATGTTTCTTAAAGGTCCCACTGCTGGTAGGCACTGGTGAAGATAGTACAAGCAAAATTATGTGAGAACAATTAGTATTGGTAGTGAACTTTGCCCTGACAAAATATACTGACTCAAATACTGATGGAATTAAGAAATGAGAAATTATTTGTGTTAAGAATCTTCAAGACAACCTGAAACTTCAGGAAAGAGGTGGATGTCTGATCATCCAATTATTTTTTTGTTGTTAATTTAGCACTTTAAGAATTAAGTGAAAGAAAGATCTAACTTTTTATTTGGATATGAAATTTAATGGTCTCTTAGTAAAGAAAGGATTTCTTCTGTTGGTTGGATGTAGATAATAATTTTTCTTAGACAGTTTCTTGAAAACCTGAAAAAAAAACAGGTCAAATGTTCTGAGTAGTCCTGAGATGTAATGACTATTTTCCTTCAGTACTTTTCTGTATACCACACAGATTTGCATCTTGGTGATATGGTGTCCACTACCATTGC